CAGCTATGCACTTTTAAATTCACTTCCCTTAGAGCAGGTCTTTATTATGGAGAAAAGACTGCTCTGGGTATATTTTTAAATAGTTGCATTCCTCCTTCTTACAAAAGAAAGGGGGAATTTGCCCCTACTTTCCACCCTGAGAACATGGTGGAACTCCTAAATCATACCCAGTAGTTTATAATCTCTTAATCTAGTCCACAAGTCTCCAACAATTAGTGAATTATCCTTTAACTTTTCTTGCCTGGGGTCAGCACTGTGGCACAGCAGGTAAAGCCGCTGCCTGCAGTGCCGGCATCCAATATGGGTGGCTGGTTCGTGCCCTGGCTGCTCCACTTCTCATCCAGCTTCTTGCTATGGCCTGGGAAAGCAGAAGATGTCTCAAGTGCTTGGGACCCTGCACCAAGTGGGAGATCTGGAAGAAGCTCCTGGCTCCTGGCTCCTGGCTTTGGCCTGGCCCAGTCCCAGTGGTTGCAGCCATTTGGGGAGTGAACCTGCGGGTGTACAAGAGTGTCAATTCGCTAAGTCAACAGCAGGAGTCACTGTGCACTTACTCCTCGTGTAGGATCTTTGTCCTTAATGTGTTGTACAATGTGAATTAACGCTATAACTAGTACTCAAACAGTATTTTACACTTTGTGTTTCGGTGTAGGTGCAAGCTGTTGAAATCTTTACTTAATTTATACTAAATTGATCTTCTGTATATAAAGATATTTGAAAATGAATCTTGATCTGAATGGAAGGGGAGAGGGAGCGGGAGATGGGAGGGGTGTGGGTGGGAGGGAAGTTATGGGGGGGAAAAGCCATTGTAATCCATAAACTGTACTTTGGAAATTTATATTTATTAAATAAAAGTTAAAAAGGTATAGATATCTACCATTAAAAGTGCTAAAATATACATATATTTTAATACATTTATTTTGGATTCATTAGCAAAATTACATACCACTTTATTATGTGCTTTCTCAAGTTAATAATTTACATTTAAGTGGTCCTACATTGGTTTTTTTGTTTGTTTTTTGGAGGGTGGTTTCTTTCTTTTTTTTTTTTAGAAAACTTTTATTTAATAAATATAAATGTTGTCCTACATTATTAAAGCTTTCTATGGAAATGTTTAAAAAGAATTGCTGATACATCCATCAACACAGAGGCACTTAACATAATGCTTAGCAAAAGAAGCCAGATTCAAAAGCATACAGATTATATCATTCCTTTTATATGAAATCCAGTCAAAATTGATCTGTGGGGGCCAGCACTGTGGTGTAGCAGGTAAAACTGTCACCTATAGTGCCAGCATCTCATATGGGTGCTGGTTTGAGTCCCGGCTGCTCCATTTCCAATCCAGATCCCTGCTAATGGCCTGGGAAAGCAGATGTCCTAAAACTGTTCTATGTCTTCATCTTGCTAGTAGCTATAAAATATGCATATATGTACTAATCTATTTAACTGTACACTTAATATGTGTACACCTCACTATACTCAAATTATAGTTAATTAATTAAAGACAATGTGGAATTGGTGCAAAGGTAGACAAACAGTCTAATGAAACAGAATAGACCAGACCAGAAAGAGAGACAGAGAGAGACTTTGTTTTTATATATGATTACCTAACAACAACAAAGTCTCCACTCCAATTCAGTGGGGCAAAGGGTGGTTTTTTTCAATAAATAGTACAAAAAATACAAATCTTGGCTATATAAAGAAATTAACCTTGATTTCTACCTCACATCAAATTTAACTCAAGATGGAGCATACAGTTAAATGTGAAAGGAAAAAAATTTCTAAAAATATATAAGAGTAGCCAGGAATTTATTAAACACAAAGCAGAATCATAAAAGGAAAAAAAGCTGATAAATTGGACTTCATAGTGTTCACATACTGAAAGAAGATATTCATGAAATACACACACACACACTCATAACCAGCTGCAGATTGATAAGACATAAATTTCAAATGTGCAATGGCCAAAATATTTGTACAAGGCTCTCAATTAAAACGATATCTACACAGTCAAAAATCATGTGAAGATAGTTTACATCATTGTTCATTAAAGAAATGCAAACTAAAACCACAATGACATTGCACTAGACACCCACCAGAATAGCTAATATTGAAGGGACTGAAAATGCTGAATGTTGCCAAGAATGTGGCACACCTTAAACTGTCTCATGCTGCTGGTGCGACTATAAATTCATTCGACAATTCTGGGAAAATATTTGGCAGTGTCTACTGAAATTCATAACTCAGCATCTCCAATCCTAGGTATATGTATTTCCAAGAGCAGTGAGGCAATCCATGCACCAAATAGCATATATGAGAAGGTTCATAACAGCTTCCTTCATAGCCTCAAATTGGAAAATAGGTCAAATGTCCATCCAGAGTAGAATGGATTTTAAAAATTGTGTTATAGTCATACAATGGAATACATACAGTATTACATACAGTCATATGCAGCAACAGAAAATCATGAACTACTTCCAACCAAAGTAATATGGCTAAATCTCAAAGACAAAATAGTGATTGAGAGAAGGCAGACACAAAATGCTGCCATTTATTTTTTAAGATTTATTTTATTTATTTGAAATGGCAGAGTTTACAGAGAGAGAGAGAGAGAGAGAGATCTTCCGATCATTGGTTTACTCCCCCAGATGGCTGCAATGGCCAGGACTCGGCCAGGCTAAAGCCAGGAGCCAGGAGCTTCAGCTGGTCTTTCCCATGGGTGCAGGGGCCCAAGCACCTCAGCCATTTTCTACTGCCAGGCCAAAGAAGGAAACTGGATGGGAAGAGGAGCAGCTGGGACTAAAAGCAGCACCCATATAAGATGCTGACGCTGCAGGTAGAGGCTTTAGCCCACTATGCCACAATGCCGCCCCTGGAAATGTTTTATACTTTGGTGTGTGGTGGTTACATGGATGCATACATATGCAAAAATTCATTGAGTTCTATTCCGAAGTAAAGGTGGACTCTGGAGTAGCATACCTCACTGAGTGTAAATCTATAACTCAATGGTAAATTGAATTACGAGACACACACACAAAAATGTTTATAGAAGTATTTTTATGGTGTAGTACCCAATTAGAAACAATCCAACTGTCAATCAATATATGCATGGTAAACAAAATTCCAATGGAACATTATTCAGCCATAAAAGATGAAGCACTGATATATGCCACAGTTTGGGGGAACTTTGAAGACGTTATGCTAAGTGAAAGAAGGCAGAGACATGAAGGGAAAAGGTTGCATGCTTCCACTGATATGAGGTGCTTACAATTGGCAAACTCGTGGACACAGACTAGAATGGTAGTTACAAGGGTGTATGAGGGCGTGGGAAATGGTATATTATTAAATGGGCACAGAGTTTCAGTTTGGAATGATAAAGTTCTAGAAACAAATAGTTGTGATGACTGCACACTACTGTGAATGGACTAAATGCCAGTGAACTGCAGATTTTTTAACGATGTATTTATTGATTTAAGACGGAAGGCTGTCACTTTACAGCATATGAATTCATCTCCATCTTAAAGGGGAACGGGAAAAGCTGTTTTTCAAAAGTGGCTGGCATTTTTTTTTTTTTTTTGAAGTCTTTATTATGGAGACTTAGAACTCACCTGGAGGTAAATTCTGTCTGTACAGTGTACCGCCTAGGTCATTCGGAGTGCGTGGAAGCCAGAGCTGTTTGTGAAGTGTTTTCACCTTGGGGGTGGAGGGGCACAGGAAATGGGAGAGGCAGAGCAAATGTGTGGAGCTAGGTGGGAGCCGGAGGGCGCCATGCGGGCGCTGCCGCGGCTTCCAGCCGGCGTGCCTATGCGGGCGGCGGCGGTGAGTCTAGCCCCCGCGGCTTCCCGGAGGTGAGCGCAAGGTGCTGAAGGCGCTGCTTTCGGGAAACCTGCTGTGCGGCTGGGCCGGAGCAGCGCACCTTCCTGCCCTGGGAGCGGAGTGTGGAACAAAGTTGTAATGGGGCGGATACTTTTCCTCTGCTTCTCATCTCCTTTCAGAACCCCGCACTACTGATGCTTCTGGCAAACTGTGATTTGGAGCAGTGGGACAGAGCCCCCTGCTTTGGACACTCGCCAACTCCAACAGGAACACGGTAAATGTGGGCAGCAGGCGCTGGCCCTTGGCCACTTTGTCAGCACAGGAGTGAGCATCCTTTTGTGTACCCGGGGATACCTGGAAGACATTTTGCACAGGGGGGCAGTCAGGCTGAGGTGCAGCGGTCCAGCTGGTGGAGCCACTGTAACCTGAGCTTGAAAAGTTAGCATGACCACAGTCTATACTGAGCTGGGCAAAGCCTGGATCGCACAACTACGTCTGCATAACCCTGTGTCTACGTGTATGTGCATGTAAGTGTGGTGTCCTACTGTGTATTATTTTGAATCTGCTTTGATTCACCAGTTCATTCTGAGTATAACCTTGTGGGCAGAGAAGCTTTGTGGACTATGTTCCAACACCAGGAGCCCCGCCCAGTGCCTGGACAGCTAACCACAAGCCTTTCTACTTCCCACTCCGAGGCCTCCCACACTGCCTTGTGAGCTTCTGGTCCTTGCTCCCAGCGGCCTCTGGGGTCATGACATTATTAGGTCTTGGTTTCATTCCTTCCCCAGGGGTTAAATAGGATCCACCTGTTTTCAGAAACCAGCAGTTCAGCAGGTGCCGCGGCTCACTGGGCTAATCCTCCGCCTTGTGGCGCTGGCACACTGGGTTCTAGTCCCGGTCAGGGCGCCGGACCAGCCGTTCAAGAACAAGCAGACCAGGTTATCCAATGTCAACACACCAATAAGCCCTCCTCCCCCAGCCACCTCGCCACAGCTTGCTAAGTGAAGACTCGGAGGTAGGAGGTCTCCATGACTTGCTCTGGAATAGTCCGAGCCCGTGGCAGGGATGGCACTTGGACCTACAGCTCTGATCCCCCCAAAGGCAATGCTTTTCCAACCCCCCTCACCTGTACATCCCCCCCACAATCTGGTGGAAGAAATATATTTATCAAGAAATCACACACTAAAGCCACAAAACACTTTTTATTTGATTGTTATCACAAATAGAGAATAGAATTAAGGCAGTATAATACATTTCCACTTGTCGTTTACAAGCTTGTGTACAGTAAACTTTGCCTAAAATGTCAATTTGAATAGACAATTCAATTTTTTTATTAAACAGCAGGTTTTTTTTCCCCTTGAATTCTAGAGAAAAATCATTTCCTGGGCCATCAAGTATGCTAACACAAGATGTCTACGGCTTCACACTGCATATGACTGAGCCCCAGTCCACTGGTGGGTAGCATCTCTCTCTCCAGGAACAAGGAGAAATACTCAGGTACAACTTCCCCAGCAGTACTCCATCTGCTTCTGGCTATCAGTATTACTTCAACTTCCTTTGTTAATGAGAATGTAAAATGTAAACAGTGATTGTGTAAAAACATTTGGCTGAGGTAAAAAAAAAAAGTAGTTATAAAATATATTAAAAGCATGACTATAATTGGTCCTAGCAACCATATGTTTGGATTTTAGCAGAAACTGATTCATTAATAGATTTGTTTCTATGGAAGTAAATGAAAGAAAGTCCTGGAAAACATTAAAAAATATACACCAAAAACAAATAAAGCAAAAACATCTCATCATTCATAACCATGTTTGACTATAAAATCAGCAGTGATGTTTGAATTTTCACAAAACACGAACTGGTGTAACCGTGTCTTTCCTTCTGCCATATGATCTCATAGGCAGAAAACTTTATTTTAATAAGATATTATCAAATTCTATTCTTCAGACATGGGTCATATTTTGTTGCTGAGATTTACAAGAGAAGCTTTCTAGTACTTGCACTTGATCACAACTGCTTTTCTGACTGCCCTTGAAATACAATAGAGTCACGCACTGACAAAGAGAAGGCTGCGGTCACATTGGGTTCACAGAAGCCTTCACCAGGACACTTTGACCATTGCGCATGCACTCCTCCCCCACACCTCAGGGAGTAGGAGAAGAAAGCAGGATCAAGGCAGAGAAAAGGAGGAAAGGTGAGAAAGAGTGACACAGGAATGGGAAGAAAAAGCAAAGTCTTAAATCGCAGGGATTACGGAAGGTCAACCATAGCAGAAACAACAGATTTTCTTAAGGAAAATCTTGTCTGTAAAGTTGCAAGCGCACACACGCACAGGTATTTTGTTTTTGTTTTTGTTCTTTACAGGACACGATGTCAAGGAGAAGTATGCCTGAAAGCTTTGACCACGTCAGCGGGTCAGCGTCCAGCTGTGTCTCTGTCCTTGTGTAAATGCAGTAGGGATCTCATTTTGGATTACATAGGCAAATCAAACTGGAGAGGGGGACCACTGCCTGGCCAGCTGCCAAGAGCATTTTCACACCGCCATTTCATCAGAATCATCTTCAACATCAATAACCATAACCTCATGGGAATCGTTGGTGGCAGTGGCGACTACAGTAGGGTCAGGAAGGGCAGCAGCAGACTCCAGCTGGCTGGCCTTAGGCTTGGGGGACCCAGTAATGGGACTGGAAGCAGGCTCAGAGAGGTCACTAACATCAGACTCCAGGTGACTGGCGTTAGTGGTCTCCAGGTATTGGGAGGCAGAGAACTCAGAGTGGCCAACAGCAGTGGGCTCAGCGTGGCTGGTAGTGGCAGGCTCAGGGTGGTCAGAGACAACAGGATCCAGATAGCCGACAGCAGTAGGCTCAGGATAGCTGGCAGCAGGCTTGATGTAGCCAGTGGGGGGTGTAGGGTGCCTGGCGGCAGGGCTGAGAGCAGGCTTGCCAACAGAGCGGTGGAGACCAGCAATAGGCTTGGGGTGACTGCAAGTGGGCTTGTAATGGACAGAGGAAGGCTTGAAATGGACAGAATCAGCCTTGAAGTGGACCAAGGCAGGCTTAGGGTAGATTGTGGAAGACTTGGGGCGGCCAGAGGCAGTCTTGGAGTGGCTAGGGACAGACTTGTAGTGGCTAGAGGAAGGCTTACGGTATGCAGAGGCAGACCTGGAATGGGACTTGGGGTGGCCAGAGGCATGGTTAAGGTGGCCAGCTGCAGCAGCACCGGGTAGTGGAACATTCCGGACACCCATCGGGGTTCCCTCCACAGCAGGACAGACAAGGGCACTGTCTTGCTCATGGGCTTGTCCGTGGGCTTGGGCACGGGCACGAGCACGGGCTCGAGCCAGGGCACGAGCCTCCTGCATCTCACGGATATCAGTGATGAGGCCAGAGAGGAACAGGATAGGGTGCCGCATAGCATGGAAGATGGTCCAGTATTCGCGTCGGAAATTCTCATTGAGGAGCCCATAGATCACAGCATTGAGGCAGCTGTTGAAGTAGGCTATGAAGTAGGCTGCAAGATAAAGCCAATTGGGGATCTTGCTTGCCATCTCCTTCGGACTGAGAGCTACCAAGACAGTGAGCACATTGATTGGGCACCAGCACATTGCAAAGAGGAGGAAAATCACAAACATGGTTAGAAAATTGCGAACCTCAGCAAGTTGGTTCTCGGGATTCTGTCCAGCCGGGTCACGGGCCGCCAGCACTCTGGTCCAGATTCTTGTGTAGCAGAAACCCACTATGAGGAGAGGGAGGACGAAGTGGATGCAGACGATGGTCACGGCAAAGACAGGGTTGTCCAGGTGGTTGAAGATGCAGGTGTAGGTGCGAGGATCATACTCGATGGTGCCGATGTACATGTTGGGCAGCACAGCCAGGACGGTCATGACCCAGGTGACCACCAGGTAGATACAGGTGTTGCGCACGCTGAAGATGCGTTCATATTGGAGGCTGTGGCAGATGTAGCAGTACCGGTTGATGGCGATGGCCAGGATATTGAAGATGGAACCGACCACACTCAGCCCTGTGATGAACCCGACCATCTGGCACTGGAACTGGCTCAGATCCCATCCTCCAATGGACATGGTGTGCAGCATGAGAGGATAGGGGTAGATGGCCACCAGCATATCGGCCGCAGAGAGGCTGACCACAAAAATGTTGCCTGAAAAACACATGGGGGAGGGAGGAGGAAACACAGAGGAGAGTAAATGGTTAGAGTATGGAAATCTACAGATTGCAGGTGGAGGAAAAGGCCAGCTGCTCTAGGGACGCCTTCGAATTCTTTTACAGCAACGCAGTTGTGTTCTTTATTTTTATTTACAAACACGTTCCAGGGCGTTCTGATGCACAGCCAGGCTCGGGACGCCTGTCCTTTGCCCACCATTTTCCTTATAAGCAATGTCATCTCTGGGAGAGAAGCGAACCTGACACAGAGGGCAGTGAGCGCAGAAGCCCTGTGAGGAAATGGTCATGCTGCTGTCATTTTCAGAGAAACACACAATGGGAAGTCTTGGGGAGGGGGTGTGGGGAGGGGGAGGCAGAGCAGGAAGAGCTAGAGTTAAAGAAGCTATTGAGGAAAGCTGGAGAGGGGAGGGCGGCAAGGCAGAGCCTGGAGGGATGTCTGGAAGCCTCAACCTAAGCGAAAGAAGAAATTAGCGCTCTCCCATTCTGAGAAGGGCATGTAATTACAGACCGTCCTTATAAGCCTCCTCCAAAGGGATGACACACTCCTGGAAGCCCACTTACCATTTCCGAGGCAACCTAAACGGGAAAACCGAGGGAGGGGGAGCGAAGCCTTGTGCAACTTAATCTGAGACGAAAGAAATAGGGGCGGAAGAGAGGAAACTGGAACCCCCCCGCAAGGATTCCAGAAGTGCCTGCTTCGTGTCCCCACCCCACCGCAGCTCAGAGCTGCGCACTGGCTGGTCCCGAGCCCTGAGGCGGCCTCTGGTGCTTATCTTCACCGCAGCCCGCGGACCAAACAGGAACGCGCAAGGGGGATCCCCTCACTCCCGTTTTGTCGCTCAGCGGTAGGAAGAAGCCCAGTGCGGGCGCAGAGCCCTCTTTTCTTCCGGAACACCTCGTTGTTCATTAACACTGGTTTGGCAAAATACTGCACTGGGAGAAAATGAGCGCTTTTTGCAAGGGCGGAGGTACGGCTGCTTCTGCCTCGTTCCGACGGCGCAGCCGAGAACCCGCCTCAGCGCTTTCTACAGAAGAAGTTCTTTCTAGGGTTTTCCCTCGAAGTAGTAAATTGGAGGGCAGAGGTGGGGTGGAGTGGGGTAAGCCAGGGAGGGAATCCCTAAAAAATAAAACCACAACCACCATAAAAGCCTTTATTTGAATTACAGAACGAAATCAAAGAGAAAAGAACGAAAAAGAAAAACAAAGAAAGTGGGCTTCACGGGCGCTCCCTGGGACTCCGCGGGTTCGCCCGGTGCTCGGCCTCACGTTTCGGGGAAACCCAGGAGAAATCAGACACGCCCGCCAGAGTTTGGATGCCAAGTTTTAAAGACGATGCGCTCATCAGCGCGTTTTGAAAATTGGGTGGTGTTTTGTAATTCCTCCTCCAAGACCCCGCCCGGCCTCCTCTCCTCCGTCTTTCTCAGACCACCGCTCCCCCCCGCCCCTGCCTCAGTTGCCTGAGAACCTGAAGGTGAAGACCCCGGGCGCCGCCTTCTCCCTCCCCCAACCCCCAGCGCGCAGGCCCTTTGCCCCTCCTACTCCCCTCCAGAGCCTTCTCCCTCCCAACCTGCAAACGGGGGCTCGCAGCTTTGCACTGGTGGGCTCCCCGCACCACGGCACAGATCGTGCTGCGGGGCATCCTCCCGCGCTTCTCCCCAGACCCTCTCGCTGTCGGCTCCGTTCCTTGAGGTAGGGGTTCCCTCTCACCACTCCAGACCCCAGTGCTTTGCAGTCGCCCACTGCCCCCTCTGAGCTCTTCTGTCCTTCTGCCGCTCCCCAACTGGTTCTGCAACCTTCTATCCCACTCCCACCCGCCACACGAAGCTCTCGATTCTCTCCGCCGCCCCGTCCTGTGACCTCCCCCAGTACCCGCTTACGGATCTTGGGATCTCCGCGGACTCCGCCGTCGCTGCCGCAGCCTGCTGTGCCCAGCCTGCCGCGCGCCAGACCGGGCTGTGCGCCTTGGGACGGGCGGACGGAGCCCGACTCTCGCAGGCTCAGATCTCCCTGCTCGATACTCAGGCGCGGGGATCTGCGCTCCGCTGGGGAGCTGCCCAAAAGCCACTCTGGGGACCCAGGGCTGCGGCGAGTGGGGTCTAGGACGGATTTGAGCGCTGCCCTGGCGTTGCGCTCAGGTAAGCGCCGCCGCGGCCGCCGCGGCCGCCGCGAACTTAACTTTCCTGGAGCGGGTGACAGTCCGTCAATTCGGACAGTTGCGCCTGGGCGCGGCCACTCCTGCGGCGTCTGGCTCTGCTGACTGTCCCGGAGCGGCCACCAGAGGCTCCGCACAGGTGCCTGCTCCCTCCGCGCCGGGTTGCGGACCGTACAGGGTTTAGCGCGCTTCCGCGCACAGCGGGGACCCCCACCCCCACCCCGGGCTTCACAATTGGATGCCCTAGCTAATTCTCTGAGCTCCCCTGTCCTTGAGAACGTCTAAGTTAACGGGACCCCCCGCGGAACATCCCCTCCGCCAACCTTGCGGGGAATTTGGGTGCAGGGACGTTCAATATGAGGGCACTGTCCATGGGTTGTCTATTTGGGCCGCTCAAACTAACACCCTAGGGGTCGCAAGTTGCTGCACCTTGGGTAGGAAGAGGGAAGGGTGGCTTACCGGAATTTCGGAGCTTCTTGTTCTTCGTCACAGCCAAAATGACCATGGAGTTGCCGATCAGGTCTACGACAATGGTAATAACCATTGCGCAGAACATGAAGGTGATTAGAGCCGGTGGGTAGTCTGGCTGCGGCAGCTTGCAGCCAATACAGCCGAATGGGGTGGGAACCGCTAGAGTAGGCCCCATGTTGCTCCTGGAGACCTTTAAGAACTCCCTGAGCACTCAGGATCAGCAGCGGTTGCCGGCAGCGAACACCAGCTCCGTCCCTGGCCAGCAGCTCCAGGAAAGCGTGCCTCCCTCTCTGAGAGTCTGAGAGAGAATGACAGCCTCCCACCCCTCTCCGATGAGCTTTTAAAGCCTCAAGAGGTGACTAGTCCAACCCCTAGTCCCGCCCCCCGACCAATCAGAGCTGTCTGACCACCCCCACTTTGGACACCAACTCTTCTTGAACAAATCCACATCGAATGAGGTGTTGTCTTGCTTCTGCCTGCCTTGTTTGTGCTTCCCCTCGAGCCAGCCACCCCTCCCAATTCCCCAGGTACCTTAGTCGTGACTAGCTCGGAGTTCAGTTCCCCCTCCCTACCAATAGCTGTTTTTCTCTTTCCCCCTGCCCACAGCAACAGCCAGCAAGCAGAAACACCTGTAGATTGTGGAGCAGAGCTGGTGTGGAGTCGTGCACTTTCTGTGGAAGTCCAGTGCCGGCCGAAGCTAGTCTGCGCCCTCCAGTAGGGTGTAGGGAACAGCTGACAACCCCTTGAACACACTAGTCATCACCCCTAAGTCTCCTTGAGAAATTTATCCCACTCCCAACACTTTCGCGTATCAGGAGCCTTCTGCACCATACACGGAGAAAGGGTCAGCTGCGGAGGGCTCCCCTCCCAAATCTGAGTCCTTGAATCTAGGGAATTTATCTTGATACGCTTCCCACCAGGAGCCGGTGGACTCCCTTAGCGGCAGCTGCTAGTGCCTGCTCAGTCCCGTGTGGTTCTTCCGCTCTGCATCAGGAAATGCACCCTGTGCCCGACTCTAGACACCGGGAAGGGTATGCACCCTGGGAGCGAGGCAAGGCGGCCGTGGCCCACTAGGTCCCCATCTTTGGAGTGAAAGAGAACGGGAGATTATCTACTCCCACCTGCCGCTTCCCAGGAGGCGGGAGCTCAGAGGCTTTTTGGGAGAAAAAGTAAAACGGGCAAGAAAGCCCTTCTCTTGGGTCATCGCTTTCCGACGAAACCGGAGGCGAATGGCTCCGGCTTCTCTTCCCTCTCGGGGTGCCCCGCACTCTCTTCTGGGTGCTGCGGGGCAGCTGGGCGGCTAGAGCTGCGCGGCAGCGGCGGGAAGGGACGCTGAGGTGCCCGGTGGCGCAGCGGAGAAGCCGCGAGCAAGCTCGCGCCCCTCGCCCTAATCAGCACTCTTCTCAGTTCTGCTCCCTTCTCATCCGCTGCTGGGGGGCTCATTTCGACCCCTTCCCTGTCGGCCCTCTCATCAGCGTCATCCCGCGGATCTCCCCCCCCCCCCAGACGTTAAGGTCGCCTGCGGTGCGCGGAGGATCTTGAAGCGCACGGGACACGGGAAATCCGTGTGAAACTAACGGGGCACGATTCGGACACTCTCCTTTGACAACTTTGGTCACGGCAGTGCATTGCGGCGGACTACTTAGAGTGCCGTCTCTTGTCCAGAAGCTTCCCAGAAAATCTCAGCCGACAGCCTAAAACTTGGTCCACACCAGCCTTCCTGCTGCTGTTGGGGAGAGGGGTTGCACTGGTTGGGAGCGCCACCGTCTGGACACAGCCGCCCCCCTGCCCCGGTAAGGCTAGGAGGCGGCCACAGGAGGAGGCTGGGGCTGGGCTCCGCGTCGGATTTCAGCCTTCAGAGACTTTAGCGAATAAACAAACAAGGCTGAAACCCAGATTGTAGGCACTTTCTCTAACGAAAAAGCCCAGAGCGGAATCGTGCCTCCTTGCTGGAAACGCGCCCACCTCCACCCTGCCTAGTCACTCACAAAGGAATCAGGCGCGAATTACCACGTCCCGCCTGGAGCCTTTTCACATTCCTTATCTCACTGCTCCTCCCTGGCCCGAGCCCGGCCGGGTTCCCTCCCACCTCCAGTGTCATCCTAGGATTTTCCCTTAAACGCAGCCCCGAGGACCCGCTCTGCTGTCGTCTCTCCCCAGCTGCGCACTTTTGAGAAAAAGGCCAGCAGCCAAAAGGCAGTCCACACCTTGAACTATCTTGTAACATCCACGTCAGGCTTGCTCACGCAGATGCCCCCAGGGTTCAGCTCCTTTCGATAGTGAGTAAGGACGACTTTGAAGTCAAATAAACAAAATACATTTGAAGAGGGGATAAAAGAAAATACACATTCTGGTGACTTAACGACACGAGATTCTCCTTGCCGGCAAACAAACCCGTAAGAAAAACTCAGATTATTTCAGGCATTGCTCTACCTGAGTGCACTGCACTTCTGAGATGAGCTGGTGGAACCACTGGGCATGGGGAAGGCCCAGTGCATGCGGTCTAGACTTCCCTGGCATTGAGGAGTGAGTAGGAGAGAAAGGGTGCCTAACACACCTGCCCCTGCCCTCTGATTGGGCGCTCCTTGAGCCTGGCCTCCTGGAGCTTGGAGTTCTCAATACCAAACAAAGACAAGACATGCCTATTTCAATAATGTAAGGGGAAAGAATTCTGTAGCAGGCTAAATGCCCCATTGCCCCAGTAATAAGAATAGCAGATGGATCTTGAATCAGTTATATGGAGACATATGAGAAAGACTCCATCTGCAAGACTAGTATGTGTAATGTGCAATAAATAAATAAATCCTTCCCTGGGTACACTGCAGTATGTATGGGTTCAGTGTCCAAAGAATTTAATTTCCAATTAAGTCTCTTTCCAAAAGTCTTGCTGGTTCACTCCCCCCAAATGACTGTAATGGCCAGAGCTGAGCTGATCTGAAGCCAGGAGCTTCTTCCAGGTCTCCCACGCAGGTGCAGGGGCCCAAGCACTTGTGCCATCTCCCACTGCTTTCTCAGGCCATTAGTGGGGAGGTGGGTCAGAAGTGGAGCAGCCAGGACACAAACCGGTGCCCATATGGGATGCCCGGATGTGGGTGGAGGCTTCACCAGCTTTGCCACAGCACTGTTCCCTGGCATCCTGTTTTGAGGTTCATCAATGTAGCTGCATGGATCAGTGCTTCATTCCTTTTATGGCTAGATGACATTCCATTGTATGGATAGACCACATTTTGCTGACCCACCCATCTGTTGATGGACCCTTGAGTTTTTTCACTTTCTACTACTATGAATAATGCAGCGGTGAACAGTTTGGGTTCTCGTTTAGCCATAAGCAGCCCTGGTCCAAGGTGGATAAGCAGAAGACCACTTTCTCCTAAGCAGGGCTGGGCAGCTAAGAACTGTCACAACAACTCCAACTTTCTTTTTTTCTTTTCTTTTTTTTTTCCAACTTTCTTTGAAGTTATGGGATTCTTTGCTACAGCCACATTAGATAATTGCTTGACACTCAAATGTATAAAACTGGCAAAATGAGTATTTGGTGCAGCTACAATCAGGCTGAATACGTCTTCCACCTTTAGTAGAACTGGTATGTCTGCCAGCATTTCCACATTTGAGGGATGTCTCTCTGGGAGCTGCTTTAGACACACATATCCTGACCTTCCTGTGGTTCCCATTCCAACACTGTGTAGATATTTCATAAATAGGGACTGCATTTGGCTCAACTCTTGAAAACAAAAGCAAGCATGAATCCAGCTACACCACTAGTCAGATATTTGACCCTGAGCAAGTTACTTAGCTTCTCTGTGTCTCAGTTATCTGAATACAAAATGCAGATAACCATTGTGCCTTACCAAATGGTTGATGAGAGGGTTAAATGAGATAATACATGTCAGCACTTTGAATACTGCCCATGGGGCAAAGTGTTTGGTGCAGCAGTTAAACCACCACCTGGGACACTTGCAGCCCATATTCCAGTGTCTGAGTTCAACTCCAGCCTTTACTTACCATTCTAGCTTTCAGCTAATGTGCACCCTTGGAGGCAGTAGGTGATGGTTCAAGCACTTGGGTCCCTGCCACCCACAGTGGGGGACCTGGGTTGGCTTCCCAGTTCCTGGCATTGGCCTGGCCCTGACCCAGCTGTTGCAGGCTTCTGGGTGTGAACCAGCAGATGGGAGATTGTTTCTCTGTCTCTGTCCCTCTGCCTTTCAAATAAATTTTTAAAAATAACAATGGGGGGGGTGGCCCTGTGGCTCAGCCAGGGAAGCCACACTTGGCAAATCCATATCTCAAATCAGAGTGCCTGGTTTGAGTCCCAGCTGTTCCACTTCCAATCTAGCTCCCTGCTAAAGTGCCTGGAAAGGCAGTGGAAGATGGCCCAAATACTTGGGCCCCTGTCACCCACATAAGAGACCTGAATGGAGTTGCTGGCTCTTGGCTTTGGCCTGACCCAGACCTGGTTGTTACAGCAATTTGAGGAGTGAACTAGTGAATGGAAGATCTCTCTCTCTCTCTCTCTCTCTCAGTGTGTGTGTGTGTGTGTGTGCCTGTCTCTCTCAACACCTCCATGTCACACTGCCTTTCAACTACATGAATAAATAATATTTTTTAAAAATTTAAAAATCATAAAAGAAAAAGAGCACTACCTAGTATAGAGTAAGAATTCAAGAATCATTAGCTATTATTTTTATCATCACCATCATCTTCTTTATCATCATCCAGCTAGTTTCTAATGCTCTGTTTAAACTCTATTCTGTTACACTTCTATTGCAGACAGCAGCTTTCTGGGATTTCAGAGACGTAGCCCCCAGCTGGCTCTCGCCTCTAGGGTCTAATTTCTGGCAATAGGCACCCAATAGCTACTCACTAGCATCACAGCATAGCAACATCCTTCCATGAGTGCAACAAATAGAAAGGGACATGAAGAATGATTTGCCAGGGCCGGTGCTGTGGTGTAGCGGGTAAAGATGCTGCTCGCAGAGCCAGCATCCCATATGGGCGTTGGTTCGAGTCCTGGTGCGCCACTTCTGATCCAGCTCTCTGCTATGGCCTGGGAAAAGCAGTAGAAGATGGTCCAAGTATTTGTCCTTCTGCCACCCATGTGGGAAACTCAGATGAAGCTCCTGGCTCCTGGCTTGAACTGCCAAAGCAGCCTCCTGGGAGGTGAACCAGCAGATAGAAGATCTCTCTCCCTCTCTGTGCAACTCTTTCAAATAAATAAATAAATAAATCTTTCTAAAAAGAGAGAGAAAGATGCATTTTGGAAAGGAAGGGAGGAATGTAGATACCCATATATTTAAA